AATCTGAAATGCTGCTCGCTGGATACACTGTTCAGATTGCACAAAAATTGAGATCAGGAATAATAAGTAACTTCGACAAGCTTTAGAACAAAAAGTGGAGCAGATAAATTACTGTTCCGAGCTACAACAAGCTGTTGAATCTCCGCTATGCGAGCGTTGAATGATGATACTAAAGAATCGAGTGAAGACCCCGCTTCCGCGACGTCCATTTTACCCTCTTTCTCACTGTCTCTCTCTCCCCTGACAAAACAACACTTAGGAAAGAAGAAGAAAAAAAGAAAATAAAGCTCCTTAAAAACAATCATATTCCAAGTTCCTGCAGTACATAACTTCATCCATGACCAACATTATATAGCAAGTACTTTCACATAGTGTTATATGGATACAAATAGTCATTACAACAGATGTTACCATCTAAAAGCAAGAAAAAGCTCAAAACTAGGGAATGCAGAAAACAGTAGAAGTGATATTAAACCACTTGTTTGTCAAATACAGCCAAAGACATGAGAAATAACTACTTTGGTCTTAATACGGCAATAATAAACATTTTAGTTTAGTGGAACTGCGGAAGTAAAAAGATGAAGAAAAAAAGAAAAAGAGAAACTCTTCGCAGATGCGTAAGTGCAGCTAGGATTTTTTTCATTTCACTACTTCAAACCATCAAAGATTCAGAGTGTTACACCAAAAACCCTTACGAAAATTATGTTCAGTTCTTACAATAGAAACATCAAACACACAAAACATATACAGAGTATGTCTCTGGTGACGGAATTGAACCATACTAGTAATGAAATTGCTATAATTCAAGCAGAAAAAATTCCTTAATTATAGAAAACAATGGTTGAAATTACATTGGACAGAAACTATAAACTGTAGAAGTGCAGTTAACCCTATTGTTTGTCAAAACCAATACAGCCAAAGACATGAGAAATAACTAACTTCTGACTTAATGACACAGTAATTTAAACTCTTCCACGGTGATATATATCCTTTCAGGAAAATGATGCGAGAAACCAATGAAGAAATAAAGAGATCTTCTACATCGAAATCTCAGTTGAAAAATTAATAGGAAAAATTCTGGATCACCCATGGAGAAGAACCAAAGCTAAATGGTTTCACCTACTGAAAACTAAGAGAGGACGCCGCCTACTACTAAAAATCCCGGTTTTCGCAACAGTTGCATTCTTCTATGCAAGGAGAACAAAGGATAAAGAAGTTTGGATCAGGAAAAGTATTCTTAGGCAATTCTTTCGCTGAGCACAACCGAATGAAGAGGATATTGTATCATTTCAAATTCCTATTCTTATTGAAGAGAAGGAACGAGAAAAACCGAAAATTTCCTACTCAAACAAGAAGTCATATAGTTTATATCTCTTCTTTATATAGTAATTAGTAACTCAACCTATTGCTCTGCATTCCTCCATCAGTTTTGCAAAAGATAAAAATAAAAGGATCGAACTACCTAGTCATGATTCAAGGTGAATCATAAAAGATCAAAATCTATAGTATCTTATGGACCTAACATAGGTTCACATACCTCACCACACAAGATTTAAAGATCCAAACCTTCTTTGACAGAAAGGGATGTGGCCAAAACATATAAAGATCGCATAGTCGCTCATAGGGGCATATCTATCCGGATAGAGGATAGTCTAGGCCAACTCGTAGATAGATCTATCCTTATACTCTTATAGATAAGTATCTTCATGGATACAGATAAAGATAGGGATACATCTAGATCTTGATTCACTTTTTCGACAAGTTTTAAATCTTAACACAGGCAAGGAAACATCATTTTTCAATTATCACTTGTTGGGTTGAAGCATAGATGAGCGAGTAGCGCCGAGGAAAGAGGGAAGCCCGTCATGGAGCGGTCAACCGGGAGTATAAGAATGTTGACATGAGAGAAGGGGCCTTTATCAGGAAAGATGGCCCACTATTTCGTTCTTTTTTTTTTATTTCAGCTATTTCGTTCTTTCTTTTTTATTTCAACTTTCTTTTACACATGACGGTGCTCTTTCACTTAGAGTTCCTTCCTTCGTAGTCAAATCTGATGATACACTTTGGCAATGTTTTCTACCAAATAAAAGGCCGACTAGGTGATCGAAATCGCTCAAGTAAGTGAGGACTCACTTATTCAAATACTTATCTATTTAAGACTTCGTTAATTCACATATAACTTTAGTGGAACTTGAAATACGAAGGGAAGAAAAAGAACAGGAGAAAAAACCTTCACAAAAGATTTTGTGCAGCTAGGGTTTTTTATTTCAACTGTGTTGCGCGGACACTTCAAACTGTTGTCGCACCCATGTGGGATCCTCCAAAAATGCACTACTTTTGGAGGATCCGCACACGCGGTAACATTTTCGGAGAGTCCCAGCAACATAGCATTTCACAACTTTAAACCATATAGATTAAGAATGTTACACCAAAAACATGTATGAAAATTAGGTTCAGTTACAACAACTACGCCTCAGTCCCAAATAAGTTGGGTGACTATATGATCCTCACTTCTCCATTTAAGCTCTAACTCGTGTCATCATCATACCAAATAAAATAAAAGTAAAAAAAATATGTTAATATTAAATAATAGTAGTAATAACAATAATAATATTGGAAGTTCACTGACAACACTAAAACTTATTCATCACTTATACGAATCTTTTTCTTCCATTGCGCCCTGTCGTTTGCTAGTGTATATTGATTCCAGAAGCGTTTAGGTTTTTTTGAAACAACTTCATTCCCTGTGACGATAAAAGCATTAAACAGACAATTTTGGACGAGTTTGCCCTGCACAACTACAAGCTACAGAGCAGGTTTCTAGTCAAGGATTTCAAATCATACTAGTAGCTATATAGCTATAATTCGAGCATAAAATATAGAAAACAATGACCGCAATTTCATCGGAGAGAAAATAATAAATTACTTCACTTAACTGAAAATTTGACAATGTACAAAATTATGGGGAAAAAAAAGGGAGAACGAGATTGTCAAATAAAGTTGAAAAATATGAACCCTAAAATTAAAAACGTACCTGAGAAAATCGATAAATCCTTTCGCTTCAAGCAGCAATTTGAACTGATGCCGTGGCGAGGGTTAAGCAGAATGGCGAACAGCGCGCTTTTTTGGTTTTCCAAAAATTTTATTTAAAAAAAAATGGAAGGATGGAAGAAAGAATGATCGAAATGGTCCTTAATGTATAGGACTGGACTATTTGGTCCTTGATATATACCTCTTAACAGAAATAGTCCTTAATATTTGCAATAAATGGTCATTTCATCCTAAAACCTAAAACTTACTGTTACCCTAAAAATTAAGTTAAACTTAAGAACTTCTCATCTAAAAATTTAAGTAGTCAGGCAGTGGCGAAGCCAGTAATTTTTTCAAGGGTGTTCAAACTTGAAAGTAATGAAAAAAATTTCGACAAAGAGTGTTCAATATATGTTATATACCTATAAAACCTAATGTTTTACCTATATACTCAGTGTTATTTCCCACGAAGGGTCAGAAGCGGATCCTGGATTTAAATCCTATGGGTTCAATTTTAAGGTTTTTAACATTGAACCCATTATATTTTTAAACTTATGGGTTCATATCTATTACTTTTGCAATTCTAATAAATTTTTACTAACAAATTTTTACACCGCATCGAAAGTTATGGGATCAATTGAACTCGTATGTAGTACACTACATCCGCCTCTGCGAAGGGTGGTCAGTTGACCACTCTTTCAGACATATGGCTTCGCCCCTGGAGTCAAGGATACCACTTAATTATATTTTCGGCACGCCACCTCACGTGCGTGCCCTATTATTTTCATGGATCAAGCACATGAATTTTATTTTTGGTAATGTTAATGGTGAGACTCAAATCCAACATCTATGCTCTTATACCGTATCTAAGTGTACAGTCATCTCATCTAAAACTTAAATAGTTAAAGTAAGAACATTTTTATTTCCATGATAAACGCGTTTAATACTGTTTTCCATGTCATCAGCATAATAATTAGTCAAAGATTTAATTCTCCCTTTGAGAAAGTGTTTTTTAGTTAGAGATATTGCCATATTGGTGATAAATATGCTCTGGGTCCAATGGATAAGTAAAAATAGCACGGGCTAGCCAGTTTTCGGACTGATCATTCAAAAATAGCCAGTGTTTGCAAAGTTATTGAAAAATAGCCACTATTTTGCTGCAAAAGGGACCGGTCCAGCATAATATACTGGAGAACGGTGCACTTGTGTATGAACTTCCAGCATATTATGCTGGAACTCCAACACGCGGAAAATTCCAGCATAATATACTGGAGATTGGAGCACCTGTGTAGGAACTTCCATCATATTATACTGGACCGGTATATTATACTGGAACTCAAATATATTATGCTGGAATTCCAGTATGCTTATGCCGGAACTCTAATATAATATGCTGGAGTTCCAGTATACTTATGCTGGAACTCCAATATAATATGCTGGAGTATTTTTCGGATTTTGAACACTATTTTCGTTTAGCTTTATCATTACATGAAAAGTTGCTAAATTTCTATTACTTTTGAAACTGTGGCTATTTTTAAATGACCACTTATAAATCTGACTATTTTTGAATTTCTCCCGATGGATAAATTAATAGATGAGAGTTATGAACAAATCATTGACCTGGTAATAAGTCAGATAATTGATTTGTGACACTAATATACCATGATTCCAAATAATTATGACTATATCTATCTGCACTAAGAAACAAATAATCTTAACTATTGTTGAAAAGTAAAGCTTCTCTGCTGAAATTCGAAATATGCCGAAATTTATAATAGTCACTCTTCTTCTATCCGGTTTTTGGTACACGCTTTTAGGGCCCGATTAATTCGGATCGCGTCAGGAAATCCTATATTGGAGGTAAAGCGCTTCTTACCAAAACGACTCTAATAATCTTTGTAAGTTATCACTAAATCTCAGTAACGGATCGGAAAATAAGTCTCCTCTGATATTCTTTTGTTTTCTTTAAGTTAAAGCATAATACTTCCTTTTTTATTACGTTTTTTGTTCTTATAGTCAGCAATTACATAGCAAATGTATTTGGAAGAATTACAATAGATATGAGGAATAGATATGATATTACATAAGCATCAGAAACTATTGACTCAAATTCTCAAAGTCCCACAAATCCCTGTAGCCAATAAATCCTACTTCAATAAATTTGTAAAGACTCCAATACATTTCCTTTAGGCTAGCACCAACTGGTGGCATTCCAACTTGAGCTGCTAACCAATCCATGTACTCTATCTGCCAACAAATTCATGTCATTGCCTCTAATTTCAATGTTAAAAATGATGATTCAGAAAGTGTTTGATAAATTTAATAAGATGCAAACTTTAAAATTGTATTTGAGCTATTTTAGGATATTCAATTCAACAACAACAACAATCACAGTGTAATCCCACAAGTGGAGTCTGGGGAGCGTAGTGTATAAGCAAACCTTACCCCTGCCTTGTGAAGGTAGAGAGGTTGTTTCCGACAGACCCTCGGTTCAATTCGGGACATACAAATCCAGTGTTAATGTTCTTGTAAAGTTATTGAACTTTACTCAACAACAACAATTACAATCCCAGTGTAATCCCACAAGAGGGGTCTGGGAAGGGTAGTGTGTACGCAAACCTTACCTTCACCTTGTGAAGGTAGAGTGATTGTTTCCGAGAGACCCTCGACTCAGAAGTTACTGAACTTTACTCGGTATAACAATAAAATCACAAAAAAAAAGGTTACTGGGAAAAACCTCGCGAGGGTGAAGGCGATGAGTGTGATGTTTTGGGATCCCGGCTACCTCAAGGTGCATATTGTGATCCTCAACATCAGTTAACATTTCCTCTTCTGATGGTAAAAGCACTTTTCCAGACAAAACTTGTGCTATCCATTTGGCTTGCAATTCAAACATGAGAAAGATAATTGTCTGATCATCACAGAGAAAAGTCTACTTTGTCATTTCTTTCGATAGTACAAAATGGTCAAGAGCACAATACAATGTCGAAGAAGTTGAGAGGGTTGTAATAACTCAGAAAACAAATGAAGGGAAAGGTCAAAATTTTCTCTTATACCATCCGAAATTGCTCAATTCTATCCTCTGTTATACTTTGGGTCTGTTCATAGCCTTGTTGTTAGATTCTTGTTTCGTTGTATTTACCCTTACCATCAATGGAACTCCAGCATGAAATGGGTGGATTTAAAGTGTCGAAATACTTCGAGAAAACTTGTAGTTATGGTTTGAAATTACCCACAGGGTGAAGCTCTATTAGTGTGAAGCGCAAAAACAAAAAATTTCCTAAGGTCGAGGGTAAGATTAGACCAAAGTATAACAGTGGATGAAGTTACTCAAATTCGAATAGTACAGAAACAAACTTGACCTCTTTCCAATAGATAGTTGGATAATAACACAATGAAATATGATATTACCATACAATTAGCTTACCTGATAGGGTATACCAACAAAGGAGAGACAGGGGGAAAGCTTTGGAGGAAAGACATGCTTGTATAATGGTCCAACACGGTTGTCATCAACACAAACTATTCCATTTGTTTCAAGAAATGGGAAATCATACTTGTATCTGCGTGAAAAAACAACAACAACAACAATAATGATAAGCTTATGTATTTCGTCAAGAAACAAAAACAACAACAACAAATCCAATGGACTCCCACAAGTAGAGTATGGAGGGTAAGATGTACACATCCTTACCCCTACCTTGGGAGGGCAGAAAGGCTGTTTCGATAGACCCTCGGCTAGTTCATCAAGGAAATGCAGCAAAAAGAATCAAGATTTGAACTTGTTAAGAACTATAATTATTTGTAGTGTGTAATGTATTAGTTAGTTATGACAGCTGTACACAGCTGCACTAATTAGCTTAGCAGTTAGCAGTTAATTGACTTAGGTTAGTCTTAGCTTTGTATATAGTGGAGGCTCCACTCACTCTTCACTCAATGAATTCAATTGCAGAGTTCTGGAATGTTCCTCTCCCTTTTCTCTTCTCTCTTTTCTCTTTTCTCTTTTCCTTTCTCTCTGAGTTCCCATGGCGTAAAGGTTACAGCTTCATCACCATTGAAGCTCATCTTCAGACAACAGTGAAACTTCGGTTACTGTTACATTGAATAATTCCGTTATGGTATCAGAGCACAGAGTGTCGATTTTGGAGTCGATTCACGCAATTTGTCAGTTCTCTTTCTACTGATCGCCTTTCGAACTAGATCGCGTACATGCAACTTCATCTCTCCATGAATTTCGAGTTGTAATTTTGAAAACAGATTTTATTCTTGCTCCTAATTGGTAATTGGTTGAGAATTACTGTCAAAACCCTAATTAGCTTGTTTCCTAGTTATCAAATCCCTTAGAAGTTTTGTAAACTGAAAATATGACTACTGGTGAGGACGGTACTCAATCCACACCAACTGTGAGTGAATCTCTGAATCAGTCAGGTGTTGACACTAGTAGCCCTTTGTATATACATCCATCAGACAATCCCGGGACAGCCTTAGTCCCCGTTCCTTTTGATGGTTTTGGTTATCGATCATGGAGAAGAGGTGTGATGCGAGTATTATCTGTGAAGAACAAATTGGGATTTATCAACGGAGAGTGTAAAAGACCAGGTCTAGATTCATCAAAATTTCGCTTGTGGGAGAGATGTGATGATATGGTCACATCGTGGATCTTAAACTCTTTGACCAAAGAAATTGCAGACAGTGTAGAATATGTAGCTGATGCATTCGAGTTATGGAGAGAACTTGAGGATCGATATGATCAAACAAATGGGACAAAGTTGTACCAAATTCAGAAAGAGATCAATGATCTATCTCAAGGATCCCTTGATATCACTGGTTATTACACAAAGATGAAAAAATTATGGGAGGAACTCAACACCTTGATTGCCAAATCTCATTGCACCTGTAACTGTTCATGTGGAGCTAAGGAGAGTATGCATAAGGCTGAACAGGACAGGAGGCTCATACAATTCCTTATGGGATTGAATGAGACATATACTGTTGTTCGAGGTAGCATATTGATGATGAATCCACTTCCTTCAATAGCTCAAGCATTTTCCTTGTTGATCCAAGAGGAAAGGCAGAGGGAAATTAAGCCTACTGGCCATTTAGCACTGGAGTCATCAGCCTTGAATGCCAACACAATCAGACCTGGGACATTCAGAACCAACTATTCTCCTAACAATAACCACAACAACAGAAATAGACCTTTCTGTGACTACTTTAAAAGGCCAGGGCACACCAAAGAAAAATGCTACAAACGTCATGGATATCCACAGAATTTTGGGCAGAATCAGAGTCCAAACACAGGACAAAACAGTTTCAGTCAGAACACTAGGCAGAGTCCCAATTACAACTATAACCCAGTCAATAATAACAGTAACAGATTCAGCAAAAGCAACAGAACACTGGCTAATGCACATGTAGCAACTACTGATGCTCAACCTACAGAGAATGTAAAGTATGATAGTCATGAAAACACTCAAAATGTGAGTCTCACTCAAGAGGAGTATAACCAGCTGGTAAACCTACTGCAGCAGTTTCAGTCATCAGGAGCAGGAGATCATGGACTTGGGACCAATTCTACTTCAGGAGCAGCAAACTTTGCAGGTATGATAGCCTGTACTTCCTCAATTGATTTTGGTAAACTTTCATGTAAATGTTTCAAAAACAAGGCTGATTCATGGATTATAGATTCAGGGGCATCAAATAACATGACCTTCAATAGATCTTTACTAACCAACATAATAAGCCTACCTTATCCCCTATTAGTCATTCTTCCAAATGGCTACAAAGTAAAAGTGACAGAAATAGGTAGTGAGATTCTCACTCCTAAGATCACTCTAGACAAAGTGATGTATGTTCCCACCTTCAGATACAATCTAATCTCAGTCCATTCCTTAGCATCTCATCTCAACTGCCTTGTTGCCTTTTTCAAAATTTGCTGTGTATTGCAGGCCCCTTCAATGAAGAGGCCTCTGGTGATTGGTAGAGTGAGAGATGGGCTGTACATCCTATGCCCAAGCTGTTTGAAGAAGAACCACACAAGCCTTGCTGAGAAGGACAATTCTGAAATGCCTTTTACTTCTACTTGTTGCACTTGTAACACACAATGTTCCTCTCATTCTACTGTAGATATGCTAGTTCATACCAATAAGTGTGTGCCCTTTCCAATTGTAAATAATTCATGTACAAGTGCTAAAGAACAAGTTCCCTTTGAAAGTTTATCTCCTGAATTACCTAGTTTTTTCTCTCATTCTTGGGCTGAAAATGATGTGAATGTATTGTGGCATAATAGACTTGGACATGTCCCCTTTGTGAAAATGAAAAGGATTACCTCCATACCTACCAATTTCTCCCCCAAACAACCTTTCAACTGCACTATTTGTCCTATGGCTAGACAAGAAAGACTACCATTCCCTCAAAAAACCAGCACAACCAACAAAATCTTTGAACTTTTGCATGTTGATCTGTGGGGTCCTTACCATATCCCTACACATGATAGGCATAAATACTTTATTACCATTGTAGATGATTATAGCAGATCTACTTGGACTCATCTCTTATCCAGCAAAAGCAATGCCATTAATATACTCAAAAACTTCATGACTCTGGTGGAAAACCAGTTTGGTGTTACCATTAAGTCCTTAAGGTCAGATAATGGACTGGAATTTACCAGTAAAGAAGCAACCATGTTGTTTCAATCCAAAGGGATCATCCATCAAAGAACTTGTCCCTACACACCACAACAGAATGGTGTGGTGGAGAGAAAACACAAATACCTCCTTGAGACAGCTAGAGCCCTCCTTTTTCAATCCAAACTACCTCTAAGATATTGGGGTGAATGTATCCTTTGTGCCACCTATATAATAAACAGATTACCATCCAATTCCATCAACAGTAAGACACCATATGAGTTACTATATAAACAGAAACCAAAGTACTCTCATCTCAAGAGTTTTGGCTGCCTTTGTTACCCTACTGTTCCAGTGCCACTCAGAGACAAGTTCAATCCCAGAACCACACCTCATGTCTTTGTTGGATATCCTTTTAACACAAAGGGATACAAACTTCTGAATCTAGCCACTTGAAAAATTCATATTTCCAGGGATGTAGTATTCCATGAGTCCATCTTTCCTTTCAATGTTAACTTGAACAAATCCTCTAAGTTACCTGTGTTTCATCCAATTCCCTTTATTGACCCTCTTAATGAACAACCTTCTGAGAATACAGACATCACACAAGTCCCTGAAGTCTTGAGTGATCAAAGGAATGTAGAAAATACACCTATGTCTATGTCACCTGCACAGGTAGCCAATCCCTTACCTCATGAATCCATGTCACCTCCACATGTAACCAATCCTTTACCTCATGAAACACACAGTATACCATCACAACACAACACTGAACAGACCTACCCAACAAGACAATCACACAGAACTCCCAAACTCCCTACATACTTGCAAGACTATGTTCACTCTCTACCTCAACCCAAAACTAATCCTACTTCCCTCAATGCTTTGTTTTCTATGAATCATCACATTGCCTCTGATCTACTAACTCCTGATAGTCAGGTTCTTGTGACAAATGTTTGTCATGACAGGGAACCATCATCATATGAGGAGGCAGCTATTGATCCTGCATGGCAAGCTGCCATGACACAGGAATTTGAGGCACTACACTCCAACCACACTTGGGATCTGGTGATGTTACCACTTGGAAAGCAAGCAATTGGCTGTAAGTGGGTATACAAGGTGAAACACAAAGCAGATGGCAGCATTGAGAGGTTCAAAGCCAGACTGGTTTTCAAAGGTTACACTCAACAGGCAGGGATAGACTACACAGAAACTTTCTCACCAGTTGTGAAAATGACAACAGTTAGAGCCCTGATAGCTACAGCAGTTAAGAAGGGTTGGTCTGTCTCACAGCTGGATGTGAACAATGCTTTCCTGCATGGGGATCTCAATGAAGAGGTGTATATGCAGGCACCACCTGGACTGATAATAGATAAGCCAGGCTTAGTCTGCAAACTCAACAAATCCCTCTATGGTCTGAAGCAAGCAAGCAGATAATGGTATGCAAAATTAACTGAAGCACTATGCTCAAGGGGATACACACACTCCATGTATGACTACTCACTTTTCTATAAGAGGAATGGAAGTACCTCAATGTATGTTGTTGTATATGTGGATGATGTATTACTAACTGGAACTGATCAACATGAGATTGCTCAACTCAAGACCTTCCTGCATGAGCAGTTTAAGATCAAGGATCTAGGTCAGCTTCACTATTTCCTAGGATTGGAGATCATGTACAAGGAAGATGGGGTCATTGTATCACAGAGGAAATTTGCTCTTGACTTGCTGAAGGAGTATAATTGTTTGGAACACAAGGCCTGCTCCTCACCCTTGGACCCAAATGTAAAATTGAAGGCCAAAGAGGGAACACTACTGCAGGATCCCACTTACTATAGGAAACTGGTAGGAAAACTGAATTTCCTAACCAATACCAGATTGGACATAGCATATGGAGTTCAACACTTGAGCCAGTTTATGCAGGAGCCCAGAGAGCCCCATCTGAAGGCAGCATTTCACTTGTTGAGATACCTAAAGAGTGATCCTACCTTGGGGATTTTCATGTCAAAGGATGGGGACCATACAGTGAAAGCCTATTGTGATTCTGATTGGGCAGCCTGCCCAGATTCTAGAAGGTCTGTCAGTGGCTACCTGGTCTTGTTGGGCAACAATCCTATCAGCTGGAAATCTAAGAAACAAGAGACTATATCACTCTCCTCTGCAGAGGCAGAGTATAAAGCACTGAGAAAAGTTGTAGGAGAGTTGGTCTGGCTGCGCAGGTTGTTTGAAGAACTGACTGTGCCTTTTTCTTTACCTATCTCAGTCTATTGTGATAGCCAGTCTGCATTACACATTGCCAGGAATCTAGTGTTTCACGAGAGGACCAAGCATATTGAGGTCGACTGTCACTTTGTGTGTGATCAATTACAAGCAGGCTTGATCTCTCTTCATCACATAAGGACAGACAACCAACTCGCAGATGTTCTAACCAAGGCTTTGACAGGGATTAAACACACTAGTACCTTGGGCAAGTTGGCTGTGTTAACTACACCTCCAACTTGAGGGGGGGTGTTAAGAACTATCATTATTTGTAGTGTGTAGTGTATTAGTTAGTTATGACAGCTGTACACAGCTGCACTAATTAGCTTAGCAGTTAGCAGTTAATTGACTTAGGTTAGTCTTAGCTTTGTATATAGTGGAGGCTCCACTCACTCTTCACTCAATGAACTCAATTGCAGAGTTCTGGAATGTTCCTCTCCCTTTTCTCTTCTCTCTTTTCTCTTCTCTCTTTTCCTTTCTCTCTGAGTTCCCATGGCGTAAAGGTTACAGCTTCATCACCATTGAAGCTCATCTTCAGACAACAGTGAAACTTCGATTACTGTTACATTGAATAATTCCGTTATGGTATCATCAAGGAAATGCAGCAAAAAGAATCAAGATTTGAACTAACCCTGTACAGTGGAGAATTATATCAGCATGAACAGAAGATCCATCCAAGAAAATCACTTCACCACTTTCATTAACATGATCAATCTGAAAAATAACTCCAAAATCAGATCCCTTTATATATCTTCCAATGCACAGTCAAGAAACTTTGTACAGCGATATACCTTTGAATGTTTCCAAAGATTTGCACTATTGTCCAATTTTGAAACTTCAGTGTCAGAAGATCTTGTCGAAAGATGAACTTGTTTGGCTACCGTAGCTATGTCTCGGGAAATATCGAGCCCACTTGGTCCATCTCCAATTACAACTACAATCTGAATACAAATCAATTAACAAGTGAGAAGGTTCTGTAAAATAGGAAGCATAGACTTGTATAAATAACTTTTTTCTTCTTCTTTTATAACCGAGAAATCCCGGAGGGTTAGTGGCGCACGTTCCAAAACTCAATGGATAATGGGTCCTCCACTATGTCATTCTTCACATAAATACCATGCTTTTGTTTGCGACACGTTCTGAATCCATGACGTGTGCCTAGTCGATACATCAGCGTTGCACTCTTAATACTAGACCAAAGCGTGGACGCAGAACTTTAAGAACTGAATATGCAAATAGAGTAGAAAGGGAGCTTGCCTGATCCTTAAATGGCCCAGGAACTCGATAATTGTGGCTATGCATTTGTTTTCCAGGCCAGTTGTTTATACCTTTGGATATTAACAAACAATAATTAGTTCAAAGTACAACCTATCCATCTCATTTCTTTCACAATAATTATGAGTGCTGGAAGGTGAGACAGTTTCTCTGTTAACTCACACCTTCCCAATTTGTTCGACAAGGAATCTTTTAAGTTAAATTAGACTAAATTAACTAAACTTGCTAAAATAAAAAGAGATATTCATACAACAACAACAAGCCACAATCCCAAGCAAGTTGAAGTCAACTCTCTCTCTCTATATATATATATATACAACAATAACAACATACCCAGTAATCCCACTAGTGGGGTCTGGGGAGAGTAGAGTGTACGCAGACCTTACCCCTACCCCGAAAAGGGCAGAGAAGTTGTTTCCAGGAGACTCTCGGCTCAACAGGAAAGGCAATAATATCAGAAAAGAAACAAGAGAAAAGACATGTAACGATAAAAGATACCAGAAAGAAAATAACCACAACAAATAAGTGAAAGGACAATAACACAAAACTATGCAAAACACCAATGTGAATACAACAAAGACCGCTAACAAACCTAACGAAACTGTATCAGACTAACCGGTATAAAGAGGGAAGAACTATCGACTACCCCCTAGCCTACCACCCTAATGCTCGACCTCCACATGTTCCTATCAAGAGCCATGTCCTCGGAAATCTGAAGCCGCGCCATGTCCTGCCTGATCACCTCGCCCCAATACTTCCTAGGCCGCCCTCTGCCTCTTCTCGTACCTGCCAAAGTCAACCGCTCACACCTCCTAACCGGTGCATCTAGGCTTCTCCTCCGCACGTGTCCGAACCATCTAAGTCGCGCTTCCCGCATCTTGTCGTCCACAGGAGCCACGCTCACCCTCTCCCGAATATCTTCATTCCGAATCTTATCCAGCCTAGTGTGCCCACACATCCATCTCAACATCCTCATTTCTGCTACTTTCATCTTCTGGATATGTGAATTCTTGACTGGCCAACACTCAGCTCCATACAACATGGCCGGTCTAACCACCGCTTTATAGAACTTACCTTTGAGTTTCGGTGGCACATTCTTGTCACACAAGACTCCAGACGCTAACCTCCATTTCATCCACCCCACTCCTATACGGTGCGTAACATCCCCGTCGATCTCCCCATCTCCTTGGATAATTGACCCTAAGTACTTAAAACTTTCTCTCTTGAGGATGACCTGTGAGTCAAGCCTGACTTCCACATCCGCTTCCCCCGTCACGTCGCTGAACTTACATTCCACATATTCTGTCTTAGTCCTACTCAACTTGAAACCTTTAGACTCTAGAGTCTGCCTCCATACCTCCCGTCTCCCATTAACGCCGCCTCGTGTCTCATCAATCAGAACTATATCATCAGCGAACAACATACACCATGGCACCTCTCCTTGGATATGGTGTGTCAGTGCGTCCATCGCCAGAGCAAATAAGAACGGGCTGAGCGCAGATCCTTGGTGTAATCCCATAACCACTGGAAAAGGCTCTGAGTCACCTCCCACAGTCCTAACCCGAGTCATAGCTCCATCATACATATCCTTTATCGCCCTAATGTAAGCCACCGACACACCTTTCACCTCCAGACACCTCCAAAGGACGTCCCTAGAGACCTTGTCATATGCCTTCTCTAGGTCAATAAACACCATATGCAAATCCCTCTTCCTATCCCTGTATAGTTCCACCAACCTCCTGATAAGGTGGATAGCTTCCGTAGTAGAACGGCCCGGCATGAATCCGAACTGGTTTTCCGATATAGACACCGCCCTCCTTATCCTCACTTCCACCACCCTTTCCCAGACTTTCATGGTATGACTTAGTAACTTGATACCCCTATAGTTGTTACAATTCTGGATATCCCCTTTGTTCTTGTACACCGGAACACACCGGAACCATTGTACTCCACCGCCACTCATCAGGCATCCTCTTTGTCTTGAATATAACATTCAACAACCCAGTCAGCCACTCCAAGCCTGCCCTACCCGCATATCTCCAAAACTCTAGTGGAATCTCGTCAGGTCCGATCGCTTTGCCCCGACTCATCTTACCCATCGCACCCACGACCTCCTCAACCTTAATGCGCCTACAATACCTAAAGTCTCGGTGACTCTCGGAGTGCCCCAATTGCCCTAACACGATGTTTCTATTCCCCTCGTCATTCAGAAGTTTATGAAAGTACGACTGTCATCTTTGCCTAATCTGGGCCTCTTCCATCAATACTCGACCGTCCTCGTCTTTGATACACCTCACTTGATCCAGATCGCGAGCCTTCTTTTCTCTCGCTTTGGCCAATCGAAATAATTTCTTATCCCCACCTTTGCCCCCCAGTTCCTCATAAAGCCGACCAAAAGCAGCAGTTTTAGCCTCTGTGACTAGGGGTGTGCATTCGATTTATCGATTCGATTTTGACCCTTATCGATAATTACTTATCGATTATCGATTTGTACATATGCTTATCATTATCGTTTCAATAAGGTTTCGATTTTTTCGATTTCGATTTATCGATTTTGGGGGGCTATCGATTCGGTTATCGATTACACCAATAAGAAAATTTGCGAGATTCCATGGAAAGTATATCGCTATAAACGCGCCTAACTAATATGGACAAAAAGAAGCTAAAATAAGACGAACACCATTTATAATATAAAAATTGTGTCAACAAGCACATGCAACAAAACTAAAGTAAGGGATCAAATGTATGCCACCAACACTCCAACGGTATAAAAAAAAAACACATCATCACGGCTAATTCTGTTTTCCATTAATTTGAACTTCATTCTCTTGATCTTTAAATATGATCATTCCTTAAATGTGGTAGAGGAAATAATAGGGTAAGGGACTTGGGGTAAAGGAAAGGGTATAGATTAGGGAAAATAATATTGTATAGCCGCTTTCAAAATAGTAGCGGAATATATATACATTCTGTATGTTATATTAATCTACACAAATAGGTAATTACTCATTTAACAAGTGTCTACAGTCTAGGGGTGTGCATTCGATTTATCGATTCGATTTTGACCCTTATCGATAATTACTTATCGATTATCGATTTGTACATATGCTTATCGTTATCGTTTCAATAAGGTTTCGATTTTTTCGATTTCAATTTCGATAACATATAATCGATTCGATTTATGATAAATCCATTCGAATGCACACCCCTATCTGTGACCGCTACTTTCGCCTCCTTCCTAGCCTCCTTATATCTTTCTCTGTTCGCTCTCCTCTGATCCTCGTCGGTGCTCTCTACTAACTTAATGTACGCCGCTTTCTTGGCTTCCACTTTACCTTGGACCACGTCATTCCACCGCCAGTTGCCCCGGTGCCCGCCATAATAGCCTTTCGAAACTCCCAACACCTATCTTGCTGCCTCCCTTATACAGTCCGCCGTCACCGTCCACATAGCGCTAGCATCCCCACCACTCTTCCAGGCACCCATATTTGTCAGTCGCCCCTCCAACTCTTGCACATTATCCTTAGACAAAGCTCCCCACCTGATCCTCGACGGACCCCGTACAAACCTTTCTTCCTCTTCATCAAAATACCGACGTCCATCACTAAGAGCCTATGTTGAGTTGCGAGGTTCTCACTCGGGATCACCTTGCAATCCTCGCACAACCCCCTATCACACCTCCTGAGGAGGAGATAGTCAATCTGACTCTTAGCCACCATACTCCGGAAAGTAACCAAATGTTCCTCCCTCTTCGGAAACATAGAGTTCACGATCACCAACTCAAAAGCTCTAGCGAAATTCATATATATATATATATATGAATTCTCACTGATCATGTCGCTCCATTTAAGCTCATTTAAAGTTAAGATATTTGTAATCTATAAAATTTCCTCATAACAAAATGTTTAAAAAAATTATTTTAGGATGATACTCAAATTTCATTATCTTGAACTAAGGACTAGTAAATATAAGAGCTTTCCTAGATATTTGCCTAGTAAAATTTTCTGACCACAATTTCATCTAACTCATATACTTTTTATATAATTTCGAATTTAAGTTACATACACCAACATTTTAATGATTTTTTACACCATCCATGTAATTTATTCCAAATTATTGATCAATCAGTGCATAGAACTTAAACTCAATAATTTCTTATACTTCTCAAAAACAAATCAATCATCATTGTTCAAACAATAGATTAATCAACTTGAATCACTTAAATTGAATACTGCACATTAATTTACCTGGAATATTTGCAACTTTGGGTATAGTATAGTGACCATTACAAATCACTACAGAATCAAACACCTCTTCTTCTGAGCTTAACTCATCCGATTTCCACTCAACAACCCAACGATCTTCCTCATACTCAACTCGCCTAACTCGCACAACTTCCGCGTTAAATCGGATCAACTCAGTAATACCAAAATCCTTAGCAAACTCAGTCAAAAACTTCAACACTTCTTCATGTCCAGGAAAATGAATTAATTTCCCATTTTCATCATTGAAAGGATAATCATTAAAACTCATTAATTGTCGAGGTAAATTTGTGCGAAGGGATTTGTAAAGACTGCTATGGATAATTTCTCTGTTCGGGTCAAGTCCCAGTGGATCGGTTTCGGTTTTTGGATTGTAAGCCCATGTTCCGCCGAGTTGGGCCGATTTTTCGAAGACTGTAACTTTGTGGCCTGATCGTTGTAGCTCACGCGCCGTGACTAAACCAGCTACTCCGGCTCCGATTACTGCTACTTTACGGGACTCCGCCATTGGAGAAGAGGGGGAAACTATTGGACTAAAAGTACAGTTTTGAAAAGTAGTTGGAACGAATTATTAACTTTTTTATTTCTAAGGAATTCCGGGAATTTTTAAATAATAAAATAAATGACGATGACGAAGATTTGAATACAGGCAGTATATTCAAATTTCTTATACGACTTATTTCATATGGAGACCGGGAAAGAAATGTTAAGACCAGCCCCTTTTTTTTGAAAATTAACTACTAGAATTTCACAATAGAAAATTAACAAAAAAAGTTATAGTAAGATTGAATTCATCGCATAACAAAAGGAAAATAAGCAATATAATATTATAATATGCCACGTAATAGTAACTCTCTGAAACAATTCAACTTTAGGAGTAATGAGATGTTTGACTATATATAAAAATTCTGGACTTGGCTTGCTTGCAATTTGTACACTCAAACTATGTTGTCTTCCACCAATATATATATATATATATATTATATATATTTGAATAGATAGAATTACTCTTGGGTACGTGGCAAAGGCGGTTCAACGATATTTGTGGCCTAAAGCCAAAAATTAAGAAGAGGCCTTAAATTATAGTAGTAAAAATGTCTATATTTGATTTTTATTTGTTTTTTTTTTTAATAATAGTTTATGAATCATCTTGTATTTATTTTGGTTATTCACTCGACTATCTACTAGCGCCCCACCATCGAAAACATCTAATAATTCTACCTGCAAAGCTTCAAAATTTCTTTGTGAAAAACATCCGTAGTTAAGGATAACATTTTTATAAGTTTCAATCATCTGATAATCTTAACGCTGGTAGATGTTAAAATAATTTTATGCATTTGAAATAGTTTATGTGTAATTGAACTTGAAAAAGATGACTTCATCTTCTCTTTATAAGAAATAATCTACTTCAAAAAAACATTACAAAAGACTTTATTTTATTATTAATGTTGTCATCAAACGCATGCTATTTTGCCATATTGCATGTTTATTATGAAATTCAAAATTTTGTCTAAATAACCTCTACTACACTCCAAAAGGAAAAAAATGGTAATTTTTTTATATTAATATTATAATAACACAGTAGTAACTGCTAAAGAAAAGTTGAGGCCTTCAATTTGGGGAGGCCTAAAACAATTGCTTTAGTCGCCTCCCCCTTGAGCCGGCACTGGTACGTGGTTGCGACTGTCATTCATTCGGACTTGCATAACAATTACAACTTATTATATCACTTTAAGGTATGAAATGTATGACTCAACTTGTAAGGTTTTATCAAAAAATTACTAAGTTGTATTTTAATTCTAATAGCATTGTTGTTAAATATAGAAAGAAAAATAGGAAATGTATGTTATAATTAGAGGATCATAAAACCTTCCAAGAAATAGCGCCAACGCATATAATTACAACATTTATACCACTTGGTGCATATCCCTTGGTCTTTCAGTTCATCCAATAAGACCTACGAAATTAGTAGCATTGTATTTCGTACAATGAAAAAGGGAGAACGAGAAGTAAAGATAGGAAAATATGAAGGTGAAGAATGAAATCATAACTTTGTAGAATACCTGTATATAGTTATATTAATAATCTCCACTCTAAAAAAGCCGTAGACACGTATAAAGTGTAACCACGTATTACGAACAAATAAAATTCTGTGAAATTGTTATTGTATACAGTCAAAATCAGAGGCCTCTGATTTACAGGATCGAGGTCAGTCATAGGCCCGAGTTTAGGCAAGGTCGAGTTCGAGATCGATGGACCAGAGGCAAGCTCGAAGACAGAGCGCAATACCCGGAGATAGGGGTACGAGGAGGACCAGGCCCGAGTATACTCGACCCCGAAATAGTACCGTTAGGAATTTGTAACAGAATGAGCTAGATTCCTGCCACATCCCCATAATCACGGCACAAATCCCGGAACAAGATTGTACGATTCCGTACTAGGCGGTTAGACAGCTGTATCAAGAATATTCCTTATTTAGGGTTCCCCTGTTATATAAAGGGGACCCCAATCATTTGTAACACCATCTTATCACTGAGCAAAGAATATACTCTCTACCTTCTTCGCCTACTGTTCATCGGCATTGTCCTTTAGCTCTATTGTTCTTACTTTATTTTATTATTTAATTGTTCTTATCATTCCAAGCCTACCTCGAGGTCCCTGTTGATGAGTAACATTGGTTTAATTCACTTTTTCTCTTTCATTTCTACTTCATACTTTTTGATTATTAATTGGTATTAAACTAAATCACATATCTTTAAAACCACAAATCAAATTTGATTGTTACTCATATTGTCGAGGTAAACAATTATGATTATCAGTGGCAGGTTTGACAATATGGCGGACACGAGAGCAGAAAGAATATGAGTATGTAGGGTTGAGAATTTGCTTATAGTAGCAATATGCACAGCATATATTTGTAGAAAGTATTATTTGTGCAAAGTTGTTGTCATCAAATGATGCTATAATGTGACGCCAAATCTCGCAAACAAGCGAAGATGTTGCTCTTTGTTTGAGATTGAGAGAATAGAGGATGTGTGTAAGATATCTTCTGGTAACTTAGCAAATTTGTGCACGAAAAGTAAGTATGACGGGACGAGATGAATGAAATGCCTCCGCCCTTGATAAGTCTAGTGAGTTTCTTAAAAAAGTACAGTCAAAACATCTCGCATTCACACAGAGTTCGGGAAAGGAACGCACCTTAAGAGGTATGATGTAAACAGCCTACCTTAATGCAAGAATTAATGGCTGCCTTCACAACTCCAACTCGTGACATATAAATCACACGTATGGACGAGATGATTTTACCAAAAAAAAAAAAAAAGGAAAAATACTACAAAGGCTCTCCGACTTAAAACATGATTTTGAAAAAGTATTAAAATTTGAATGTCTATTCCTGTTGTGGTCCAATTTAGCGAAAGGACAATCTCATTTAAGGAAATTAAAAGTAATCACTCCTTTTCTTGGAGATTTTCTTACCATAATTGTATCACAATATTCTTTCGATTTATATTTCGTGTTCTCTCTTTCTATCATTTTATAATGTATCCTTGACTTAATTTCAAAGAGAAGTTATTTCTCTTAGGAGTATATTTTACATTTTCATTACCTTTTCCCTTTTTAGTATTTGAATCTACCTCTTGCATCTTCAACCGATAGTAAACATAAATGGTAGAAAATGGCATAAATCATGGTAAAAAGAAAGAAAAATAACATATATAATACTTATGTTAACTCGTATTTCTATAGAGTAAACTTGGTAAATTCTTTTAAAAGCTAAGCTGCTCCACTAAATACTATGTTGGGCTAATGCTCTACTGTCTTCTTTCCAGTTTAGTCGAGCAAGGAACAGGCAAATAACATGAAAACAAATAGATCTTTTCCTCTTTTTTTCTACAAGAAATAATGCTAAATTGACTTTTTTTGAACCACTATTCATATCTTAACCCAGTTAAAAAAAATTGGGAAAATAGTCCCACGATAAAACTTTAAAGGCAAGATTTTCTTCGATCGCCAATATTGTATAGGGTCAAATTTGACCCTCAGCATCTCTATGCCAGTGGGTACGCCCAGTGAGTGTACGCCAACTAACGTAGCGGGTACGACTCGGCCGTGGGGACAAAAGCGACATCGTTTAGGACTCAGTGTCTTCACTAGGGAGACGTTACCTGTCTTTGTAACTTTTTGATTCTTTCGAGGAGGGTCTCTTATTATATAAAGGAGACCCTCGCATTGTAAAAGGGGCATCTGATCTAATACAACTCTCTCATTTTTCTGGCTTTCTCTCTCTATCTCTACTTCAACGAACGTATCTTATTGAGTTCATACTGTCTCTTTGCAATACTAGATCTACAACAATATTATCATCTTTGCATCTCTAGGATTATTATATTTGATTACGATTTACCCTTTTCCTACTTTTGATTGTTTTTTAGCTTACAAAGTATATTGTTAACTTTTGAGCCAAACAATTTGGCGTCGTCTGTGGGGATTTCGAGAATCAAAACCATAGTATCCACCTAGAGATCAACCAACTACGATTCTCTACACCACCAAAAACAGAAAATGGCCGAAAATAACTCAAGATCGAAAGCTATATTGGGTGTCACTACCAATCTCCTTGGCCCTCTCAACGAGGCCAGTGAAGATGGCATCCTTAATGCAACCCCTAGCATCACACCGGGTGCAGAGATCTCACCTTCCCCATCCGAAGGTCTGACGATCTTGCACGAAAAAGGAGCTTCCACATCTGCGGTTACGGAAGCACCCTCAGCGGTCAAAGAGCTACTGGAAAGATGGCTAACAAGCGATCTAAGTGGCTTGATTGAGAGGTCACCACAAAGTAACATCGGATGTACACCAACGGTAGGTACCACTGCTGCCATGGGTGAACCGGAAGTTACACTAGCGAATAACAAACCCATCGAGACGGAGACCAACGATGGCACGCTAACAGCCATCCTAAAGAAGATGGAAGAAATGGAAAATGAAAACAAGGCGCTCCGCGGTCAGATGAAGGAACATCAGGAGAGGGTCGACAAGATCCCCGGTGCTCCCAAGTTGCTACCAAAACGCGACGTGGGAAGGTTCGTTGAACAACCATACACTGAAGAAGCTGCCCCTCACTCCACCCCAAAAACCTTCAAGATGCCACCCTACTTGAGGGTATATGACGGAACCACAGATCCCGAGGATCATCTGATCCACTACGTCACCGCTGTGAAGGGCAACGACCTATCGAAAGAACAGGTACCGTCGGTACTGCTGAAGAAGTTTGGCGAGACGTTGACAGGAGGGGCCTTAACATGGTACTCTCAGCTACCGGCTAAGGCAATATCAACGTTCGAGGAAATGGCGGATAAGTTCGTCACAGCCCACGCAGGCACGAAGAAAGCGGAGGCCAGGGTCAACGACATCTTCGCCGTCAGGCAAAACACAGGAGAGGGACTCAGGGACTTCCTGGCAAGGTTTAACAGGGTAAGGATGAGTCTACCAAACGTATCGGAAGGTATGGCAGTCGCCGCTTTCCAGAACGGGCTAAGCAGAGATGGTTCGAGGGCAACCAAGAAGCTGCTGAGCCGCCTCATGAAATATCCCCCTACCACATGGGAG